AAACCCCAGCACTCCCCTCCACCTCACCAGGCTGTGACCTGTGGAGGGAAGCGATATTTTTCACATCCATCCTTAAGCTCTCAACATCTGACACTGCTTAATTTTTGTTTTAGCACAGTCATTGTTTTATGGCTTATAATATTACCTTTCCTGTAATTTGTCTTCTTCACTAGATCATACGCTACTTGAGGCAAAGGACCGTGTCTTACCAATCCTGCTATACCACTTGGCACCAAGCAGAGAACTTTGCAAACAAAACATAAAAGTTGGTTGCATTGAATAAGCATCTGCAATGAGCTCAAACCTTAAGTGTAGACAACATTACCTAGTATTTTTGTAACCCAGATTTCCCCATCTTAGGCTTAAATTAACCCCAGATCCTTGTCAGCTCAGTGCAGGGCTGTAGATGGCACGAGGTGACATTTACAGAGAGGCATGAGGCATACACTCTTTCCAGAATATCATAAATGTGACAAATATGCAGCAGTTGACTTCTGCCTAAGCAAATTTTGGTCTTGAGCCCCAAGAAGGACATGCGTTCAAGTCCCTGACCTAGTCCAGGAGGCCTGCTGACAGGAAGCTCTCCAGAGGCTGTATTGTTACCATCCTTTCTTGGCTGCCTGCTCCTGAGCCCCCAGAGACATCAGAGTCAGAATTCTGAGCGCTGGAGGGTCCCTACCCCACACTGCTCTCCTCTTACACAGTGTGATTCATTTCACAGGTTACCTCAGTAGTCCTGGCAAATGTCGATTGAAACCCTCTCTAAGAGAAGGGAAATAGGCCAAAAGATCAACACGGAGAGTCGGGAGGCAGGAAAATTCAGGCATTCTGGGCCGCCTCTTCTGCCAGTGTTCCCTTTTCTCAATTTCATAACATGGGCAAGGGCAGTTAGGAGGCTGAATGCTGCTCTTCAATTTCATTTTATTCCTGTAGTAAACAATTATAGTCACAGAGCTTTCCAATTTCTAGCTGTGGGCAAGTCTCTTGCCTCTGAGGTATTTCTCAATCTATAGAATAAAGAAAATAATCTTTGCTGTGCCTCCCTGACAGGGCAGGCTCAGTGAGAAAATGCATATGAAAGAGCTTTCTAAACTGAAAAGCCCTATGAGTATTACTGTTATTCACATTATCTGTGCCCATTCTTTAATTTTCTAGGTAAGTAAACCCAAGCTCAAAAGATCACATGGTAGCAGTCAGGATGAGAACCCAGGTCTTCTGATTGTGAATACGTTATATGCCGGACGGTTTACTAAGTGGTAATTGCAGGCACAAATCCTGTATCTTTAATGGACCACCTCTTTCTCTCCTACAACTTGTATTAAGAAAAACTTCTTTGGAGACTTAAGTTAAAGAAAAAAACGGGTTCCAGGGTGCAGCGAGATGCTGAGTAGTTGACACAACTTCACTATTCCCTCCCTGGTTTGGAAGGCTTCAGTCCAGGGCCGCATAGCAGCACAGCCTGGTGCTGTCCAGCCGTCCATACGGCCGGCCACTTTTGGACTCTTGGGGAAGAGGGTGGCTGGGGGTGGCTGAGACTAGCGTCTCCAACAAGACGTCCGCTCCGGATCTCATAAATGGGTGAAGAGGGTCCAGGAGGGAGTGAGAAGCCGGGTCTCAGGGCGGACCATCCAAGGTGGTGGTGCGGGGCGGGGGTTGGGGAGACAGGCTCCAGTTTTGGGAGGGTGGTCCCTGGCTTTCGCTCAGAGACGTGCAAGGGAGCGAAGATATAAGGACGCCTTTCCAGGCAGTCCGAAGATCGGAAGTCTTCTTTCCCTTTCTAGCACCCATTCTCTCCGTCAGAAGAGTTATGTTTATTTTCCTAAACTATAATATTTCCCAGGCTGGCAACTGGCCCTGGGCCACCGAATGGCCCCTTGGGAAAGGTAGTTCGATTTCGCTTCCAGGTAAGTTCCCTTCGCCCCGTTTGCCACTGCCTCTCATTCTTGGGAACTCCAAGTGTCAGAATGTTCCGTAAGCACCGGGAAAGCTGAAGTCGCCGTGGCCTCTGTCATCAGGTGTGCAGCATCCCGGAGAGGCGTGAGAACGAAAGACTACACCTCCCAGCAGCTACCGCGCGTCTCAGTGCGCAGGCGTAGCCGCGCCTCGCCACCCCTCCCCCTCCCCCAACTGCTCCCGTCGGTCCGTTCCCGTATTCCCCCCATCAGTACTAATGTCCCCTCTGTCTCGCCGGCACCTCACACTCACCGCGAACTCGCGGCGTCGGATACAGTCGCTGCGCCTTCTCCAGGAAGCGGAGCGCCCGGTCGGGCTGGTTGCTTTGGATGGCCTTGAGGGCGATGCTAATACAGCGCTCGGCTTCATCCTTGTTGGATTCCATGGCGGAACCAGAGCGCGGAACCAGGGAGGGGGAGGCCGGGCGAGCGTAGGACTGCGCCAGCCGCCGGTGCGTTGCGGGGCAGGCGTGCGCAGGATGATGACATAAACCCTCTGCCCCTCCTTCCCGAGATTTGAGCGAGGGCGGTAGCGCTACCGTATGTCTTCTAAGAGGGTGACGTTTAAGAGGTGTTTAGGGTGCATGCCCACATTTTGGAGCCCACAGAGTTATATTTAGAGGTCTTAAAATTGCATATGCTTGCATGTTCTTGGTAGTAACTATGCGTTTTAGACGACTGTCATTTATTTATTCATTCGACATATTTGTTGAGAACCGACTATTTGCCAGGCCGGATATACAGTGGTGAACAAAACAAAGCCCCTGCCCTCATGGAGTTTACCTTCTAGTGTGTGTAGGGGGGTGGGGAGACATCCAATAAATAGATATATTCAATAGTGACAAATGCTATGAAGAAAAATACAGGGAGAGTGAAAGGTTTTATTTTAAATGTCCTGATAGAAATCTCTCAGAAGCTGTTGCTTTAACAGAAATTGAATTCAGGAGAGAAAGCAGGTATGCCATATGTGACTGGAGTAAGGGTGATTGAGGCAGAAGGAAGCGCAAACGCAAAGGATCTGAATCAGGAACTTTCTGATAGAGGGTATCCTGGTAATGAAGAAATCAGCAACTCCTTAATAACAGAGCCCTACACTTAGAGAAAGTTAAGGTCTTCACAAATTGATAGGTCTTTAGTACGTGTTAGTGGATACACACTGGGACCCCTTTCCCACAGCCTCTCTGAAGTTTGTTGACCTAGGACTGCAATATGTCCAGTCTTCCCCTCTCCTGCTATTGATGTAAGAACTGTCCAAACCTGTAGAGAATTTTTCTAAGAGTTTATTTGAGCCAAACCGATGACACTGCCAGGAAGCAAGATCTTAAATGCTCTGGAGAATGACAGTTTGGTAGTTTCTTTTCTACATTTGGAATTTAGGAGGCAATGTAAGGAAGAGTACATGAAGGTGGGAGAAAGCAAGGCAAGGATTGGGTTACAGGATAGTGAACAAGATTATGTGTTCTCTTGAGGGTGTTAGCTTCCTAGGGGTCTGAAAAAGAGGCATTTCAAAGGTGTATTAACCTAGATGAACACACACAATGGACAGGTACCCTTTTACTGGGGAAGTTACAGGCCTGAGGCCTGACTACCCACCATGACTTGCCTAGTTAGGAATTTATGATCAGATCTCCTGGTGAGGTTACTTTCAGTTAGATTTACTACAGTGCTCCTTTTTCATCCACACTGCTAAGTATCATGAGGTCTCTTTTTCCATTTTCTGAGTATCATGAGGCTCCTCTTCTCTGGCTGACTACAGGTACTTCACTTTGTGAAGAAGTACTCATTGTGTAAAAGGCCTGTAATTTCGTTGTGTTAAGGAATTGGACTGCGATTGCCCAGCTACTGGCTGGTGAGCCCTCCCCTCCTTTCCCCCAATGCATATAAATGACAAGATCTTATTTAAACTTTGAGCCTGTAGTTAATCATTTGGCTTGGTTGGCAGGGTCTGGAGCACTAAGGATCTGGAGAGGCAGCCTTAGTGTGTGTGTGTGTGTGTGTGTGTGTGTGTGTGTGTGTGTGTGTGTGTGTGTGT